TTGGAGGATTGGAGGGTGGAGGGACAGAAAATAAATTCTCAGCTGTATCTCTCACATCCTGGTAGGTACACTCAGTCCACCACGGACACCTGGACTGCTTCCAGTCTGATGAGAGTGGTGCCAGGTGGAAATGCCTTTATGGTCTTCGTGTTGAACTTGGGTTGGCAGTTCAGCTAGTGAGTCTGGCCCAGACAGAGGACAATGGGAGAGAGCCCTTTAACTTGGCCTTCACTCCAGCTGCCCTGGCTCTCTCTTTATCTCAGGGCAGAAGCACAGGCTGGGTCTTATGCAATGATCTTCTTATTTATTAGAACTAAAAGAGCACAGCCAACAAAAGGACGGAGAGGAAGCCCTCTTCCATCTTATCTCATTTATAGTAAGTCTGGATTGTACAAAGTCACGCACAGGGTGTTCTCAAAGCCCCATCATTCCTGGCACATCTTCTTGGCTATTCTCGTTGACCAAATGTGTGTGCATGTGCATGTACAGTTTTTGTATATATATATATGTGTGTGTGTGTGTGTGTATATATATATATATATATATATATATACACACACACACACACACATACATTACACAATATATGTATATGTATTGTGTGATATATATGTATATATATGATGTGTACATATATTTTTTCACTCATTATCACAGTTCTTAATATTTTCTGGATCTATAACTCATTTTAAAATATAAGTCATGGATCCTCTCCCTAGAAAAATGTGTATAGGTACGTTGTCTGCAAATCTGCATATAGTTTCCTGAAAGCTTATTTATGTCTCAACCAACAGGCCCTTGGTAGGCTAAAAGGCTGTATTTCCAAAGATTTTAAAGTATCATGTGTTGTTAATGATCTTGCTGAGTTGATATTTTATGTAACACGATTTTTTTTTTTTCCTTGAAATTGAAAACCTAAGGAGTTATGCCCGTTCTTCGCTGACAATACGCGAAATGAAGATTTTCTGACCCAGATCACATTCTGTACAGCTAATCTACAGTGTCTACAAAAGGGAGAATATACACTTCATCATAACGTGCCCAAGTCATTGAACGGAGAGCAGGGGCCATTCATGACAGGACTATACTCAGCTCAAGGCCACAGAAACAGTCCATTTGCAGTTACTCTGGAGTTGTGGGTTTTCACCCCCAAAGTACACCAGTTTATGCTGCCTTTGGTGTCACACTCTCTGCCCTGCTACTCAAAATGTTACGCACACTTCAAGGCCCAGTTTATATTACTCTCCCTCCATGAGGTTTATTTTTGTTTTAATTGTTTTTATTTCCAGAAACCATCTGCAGAATCAATTTCTCTTTCGCCTCCGTCTTCCCATCACATTTTGTTTGTAGCTAACTACCGTAGAGCGCTTAGCAAAGGCTCTCCCACCTTAAGCTACTGATACATGTCTATAACGCTCCCGTCTCCCTCACTGCGCTAGGAGAACCTGGAGGAGCGCTCCTACTTTCCTGCACATCACAGGTGATCTTTAGACGCAGTATGTGTGGGGCTTAGGCACGTTTGGCTCTGGAGATAAAAGTTTTGAGTTCTAATCCCACCTCTGCCATTAATTAGCTGTTTATTTTCACAGCTAATTAAACCCACTTGGATTTCCTAATAACCATCTCCCTCTTTCTGGAAAATAGGTACGATGATAGTACCCACCTAACTGGGCTACTGTGAAGATTAAATAATATAATAGATAGATAAAATCACTTAGCCCAGTGTTTGAATCATAGTAAGTGTTGAATGAAGGTTAGTTATACAATTCATTGAACTGAATTTTAAAGGGAATTTTCTTTATCTTTTTGGAGCTCCTTCATATAGTTAATAAGAACGGTATATAGCCAAATGTAAAAGCCATCATATATGTATTTTGGACAAAATTAAAATCTCATGTTATTTTTAGGTCCTCTTAACAATTTTTACTTTAATATGTAAAGTCCCAAGTTGGCTGATAAAAGTTTCATCTTTTATAGTAGCCAGCTCTAGGATATTGGAAGTATCTTTATGACATTAAGTGATACTGGTTTGCCCTCAACACTGTTCCTAAAACTTAGAGACATGGATCTCTAGCCTCCAAGAGAGCCTAAGACCATTTGAGCAGGGGACTGATGAAGATGATAGTCTCTTGAATGTGTTTTTGGAGTCTTATATGCCAACTTCTGTCTAGTCATTATCAAGAGGATCCTTCTCTTTCCTATCAAGCATCAGGCCAGACAATTCAGATGGATAAATTCACTGCTAGAAGAAAAATAATAGCTCACTTTATTGTTGTAACATCTTTGGATACAAAGAACAGCATGGGTAAATTTTGTCTTCAGAGCCTTTAAAAAAAAGTTGTTTCTAGGTATGTATACAGAAATATACATGCATATCTTTGGCTAACTCCTCTAAACTTTTTCAAACTGGGATTAAGTTTTCTTGGATTTTGCACATTTTGAGCATCTGAGTTTGAACCAATGTCCAAGGGCCGGGATTATATTTTATTTATCTTTGTACTCCTAGATCCTAGTATATCATCTGATGCATGCAATAAATAGTTGCTAGTTCAAAATATACAAGACTGTATGTTGTGTTGAAAAGGCTGCAGAATTTGGTTGTATAGGAATGTTTATTTTTAACAAAGAGATTAAATATTATTAAAAATTATCTGCACTTCAAAAGTTTGAGTAAGGAATCCATTTATTTGAGAACGTTTTTAGTATATGAACAAGTAGATTGCAGTATCTTTCTTTTGAGAATCAATTTTTGTTAATTAGCAGTGAGTAGTTAATGAAATTCTACATTCTTGCTTTTTACATCTTTAACATCTGGCATATTTCTTTCTGACTTTCTGTCTAAATGTGCGTTCATTACGTGTTTTATATACACTACATGTCAAAGCACAGCTTTGAGATCCTTAGTTTCATGCACAAATCAGTCAGTAGCAGTACATACTCTCTTAAACTCCACTGATGTGATCTATTTGATGATAAGAAATTAGAATTCGGTAAGCATTTACATTATATGGAAGTAGATCAAGTAGCCAGTCTTGTTGCTTGATTTTCTTTATTTAATTAAAGACATTTGAAAAGTCAGAATTAAAATATGACAGGAATAGAAAATCTATTTGGGAGCTCTCAGTTCAGTCATTCATTTTTTTCCCCTGGTCAAATTTTTAATGTTTTCCCCAAGCAATAAATTCAGCTTCTGAGACTGTTTAGAAAGTTTAGTTTTCATTTTATTTGTTTAGTTTTCAGCTCATCATCAAAAGTTTTTCTAAATTATGTCACCCTGTCCCCTCTTTATGGTCATTTCTATCCCAGCTCCAGGTGCTGGCTGACAGACCAAGAGAGCCGAGTGCTGAATTATGTCCCAGGGGATCCATAAGCCTTGGAATGCCAATTCCTACCTGGACCAAAAGCTAATCAACTGGATGGAAAAAAGCTCTGTTTCATGTTTCAGTTGTACTTCATCCTCAAGCTGCACTGTTTTGTATAACGCAACTGTTTTACGGGGATCCTTTAGAAATTCTTCCCATACTGAATTTTTTCAAAAGATCTACTAAAATTGAGATCAGTGACTCCTTTGAATGCAATGATTTTGTTAATGACAACCAAAGGTCTCCCCCAAACCACGTTGAAAATTCTGGGAATAACTCATTTATGATATAGGGTTATAAGATCTGAAGTAATATCATAGATAAGAGTTCTTTGGGCGAATCTACTCGTGCTGTTGAACTATTTTATAACAACAAAGTACGCCTATTGTCTTCGATAACATACCTCTGACTCAGAGGGCATGAAAGTTCAGAAATGGCCCTGGAGAATATAGCCAATATTTTATAATAACTATAAATGAAGTATAATCTGTAAAATCTTTGAATCACTATATTGTATACCTGAAACTAGCGTAATATTGTAAAAACATGATTAAAAAAAGAAATGGCCCTAGAGACGTAAATCTGAATTAGGACTGCACCTGGGAGTATCATTTATAGAAGTTCTACAAGGACTGGCTTCAACTGGCTATTAATATATTAGATGGTTCCTATGGAGACAGATAGTCTCAGACCATGAGACGGTAGACTCAGGAATCCTGTTTGACTTAGAACAATTTCACACCTGCTTCAGAGCAAATTGAATTCCTTGGATATCCTTGTAAGCCAATTTAATCTTCCCTGGGGGACACTCTGAACCTATTTCAAACCCATGCTCTTTGGCTGTGGTCATCATTGAGGCTGACCCTGAATGAAGGCTATCTCCAAGGGTAAGATTCAGGCTACAGCACTGGGCCTCAAGCAGTTAACCATATTGTATCATGTTGGCTCCCTTACCTGATATAGGTTGGCAAGGTGGTGGTTTGTTTTGATCAAAAATGGCTGGTTTACCCCTGGATGGTCAACATCGTGGGCTGCGGCAGCCAGCAGTCCAAGCATGATGTCCAGAGGTGTGAGGGAGCTGGCGAGCTGTTAAAGAATTGAATGGGGAGATTGACTGGTGTGCTTCCAAAAATAGGTTAGCATTTGTTTTGGCTAAATCGCACTGAATGAATCATCATAGTATCATTCAGGCCTTTCATCCAGACCTTAACCTTCTGAAGCTGTCAATAAGGTAATAAAACCATGGAATCGCAGGAATAAAGAAAGGGCTGTGAGGAAAGTAATTAAGCAACTCAAATTGTGTAGCTCATCCAGGTGGCCTCCCCTTCCTGCTGCTACTCTCTTGTTTTGTTGTTGTAGTAGTATTACCTGTTGGCAACACTGCTCTATAGTGGGCGGGGAGAAGGCAGAGTCTAAAATCAGCCTTGCTCCTAGGAAAGCTGTAAGTGAAGGAAAAAGCTGAAGCCAAAGCGATGGAAAAAAATCCCTTGTGTATTTCAACCATCCAATATATCATTGCCACTTCTTTGAATATGAAATCCACAGTGGGCTGAATTGCAAAATTTGCATATTTCTTCAATGTGTAATAAATAAAGTGGGGGAATGTGTGAGAATCTGTCGTTTTCTTTTTGGCTAGCTAGGAAAACAAGCAGGAAAATGGGAATCTAGTGTTAGCTTTAAATACACAACTGTGCAATCTATACAATTTTCAAATTACTTAGGGATTAAATAACAAAACCTTTAATGTCTTTGGGATATTTTATAAGGATGAGGCATACCCAGTTTTGTCTTGGGAATGCCTATCTGGCATCTGTATATTTAGTGGTTGATGTTAAAACTGATTGAACTAAACAGAGTCTTGGACTCAGATATCATTTTCCTTGGATATCCAGGGTTGGATAACCCTAAAAAAACCTCATCCTGTATGTTTTAACAGCTAGGTTTTATATGGCTAAGAAATGCCTAGGTTTTAAGTAACGAGCATTACTATCATGTTTTAAATTTTGGATTAATATATTGCATCTAGGCATATTTTTAAAGAGGTTTTTGATGTTCACAATTTCTCTTGGGCCTGAATCAGGATGCCTAGTTGCCTCAGTAGGAAATGCAGCTAAGTCTTGAGGAGTTTTAATTCTATTTGTTGATCAAAAACCATGAGGTGGGAGACTTCCTAGAAAAGTTCAGTTCTGGTACTGTTTGAGGCAAAGGTTCAAGGCAAAAGCAGCTAACTTTTGTGATGGTTGAAGATATCTAGGACGCAGACTGTCATAGAGAGGGTTGTTTTCATCCTAATGCAGCCTTGAAAATATATAAATTATGAAACAGAACCTCTGAAAATTTACATCCTCTTTCATGACTATTATACAGTTTTCAGAGCTGATACTGAAACCTTAATATAAGCCATTTGTATTCATGCTATAAATTGGCCCATAACCCAGTCGCTCTGATATGTCAGGTGATTTGGGACCCGGCAGGTAGTTTACATGGCATTTCCAGATGGCCGAGGAGGCAGCGGGTCTTGCCTTACCTTTGGCTCCTTTAGGTAGCAGTGCATGGCCTGGGTGACGTCGGCCGCATGAACAGCATTGTGATAAGGGTTTTGGCTGTGGTAATCTTCTTGAACCATGACTAGGAGGTAAACAGATAACTCAATCGGCTAAAAACAAAACACAAAGGTCACACTAGCTCAGACTTATTGAGGGTCCCTTTTGCTTAAAAATAACAGTGTCTCCAAAATGTGCAGCCTGGGGATGCTTTAGAAATGAACACGATTTGCCAGCCTGGCAGTTCTACTGGGTTGATTTCAGTGGAGAGGAGTGGGAGGGAGGAGGGAAGAAAGGCTAAAAGGATTTGTGAGGCCCTTGGGATTCCTCACCACCTTCATAAATCACCCCTTTCTGGCATTCATGAAGGCTCTCATTCATTGGAAAAATAAATATGTAGGAAAAGGGCAACTTTATTTCACACTATAGTTTAATCATTTAAGTTTGCTGCCATTTAAGAATAATGTGCCATAAAAGAGGTTTCCTTTTAAAGAGACCTACTCTCATCCAAAGATTGCTTTATCACTTAAATAACAAATACTGACCAAAGCAAATCTGGGGATTCTTCAGGCAGAAATTCATAGATCCAACTGAGGAATCCTTGGATTTATTTCTATCTTATTCAGATTAAATGATCGTCTTTCTTGCCCTTCCAATCTAGGGACCGGAGTGTTCTTGGAACCAAATAGAGACACAAGGAAGGCAATTTGAATTTGCTATTTACAGAAGCTACTTGCCTGCTTCAGCTAATAACTAAGGCAATGTCTAGGATGCAATATATTCAGTGTGTATAGAATGTCCTGGCTTTCAAGTGTGGCTTTGTTCTCTCAGCCCAGCTATGACTTTGGCTCTGGATTCCAGTCAGAAATTCCTGTCATTGAATCTTTGCCTTTCTCCCATGTACTCTGGGTGCATACACGTGTCCAAAGTATCTGTGCTCTCCCTCTTTAGACAAATCAAAATTATTTGGCTCTATTCATGGCCATTACTTTGCTCAATCAATCTGAACACAATTAGCTTGAGGTTACCTGTGTTTCTGGAATGAGCCATGCTCTGGCTTGTTTCCAGTATTTCTGTTGTGCCACATGTACCTTTTAATCAGCAGGTTTATTTGACTATTATATGAACCCTGGCTCTATTACTTATCTGTATTGGGCAAGTTACTTAACCGAAAGTTTCCTCCCTTTCCTTCTCTATAAAATAGGGATAACAACAGCTCTGATCTCAAGGAGGTGCTGTAAGGATTAAGTGTGTTAACATATGCAAGTTCTTAGAAGACTTTCCAGCATATGTAAACACTATATAAGCCTGGTGGTTGCTGCTACTGTTGTTATCACCATCACCATTGTTTTACCCTTGATGCATCAAGTCAGCTTCCAAATTCAAAGCACTGCCATGTGCCAAGTCAAAGAAGCCAGGAACACACTAAGAGGCAGAGGAAAGTCATTTGGTGACTAAAAATGTGCCCTGGATAATTCACTGGAAGATAAATAAGAATATGCATGAAGTCAAATGAGATCTGGGGCTGCTTTTTGATGAGGAGAGATGGTGGAGTTGAGTGGGAAGACGGTAGGCTTTCAAATCAGACAGACCTGGGCTTGGACTGCAGCTCTGCCAATTATATATTGTTGACCTTCAGCAAGTTACAAAACCTCTTTGTACTTCTCCTTACTTATGGGCCAAATGGTGATAATGGCCAGCTTGCAGGGTTGTTGAAGCTGTTGGAAATAACGTACCCAAAGCCCCCTGCAGACAGTGGGTGCTACATACATGGTACTTCTTATCATTGAAAAAAAGCCTGTTGAATAATTTCAACAGCTCATATCCAGAGTGGCATTATTTGAGGAATATTTTCTGGGATTTTGTTCATACGTGAGCAGATCAGTAACTTCTGTGACAGTTATTTGCTCTTGATGGTTGTCTTTACATAGCCTTTATCTCTTTTAAACATAACTAATCAGGTAAGCATTTTTTCCAGTGATTTAAATAAGTAAACTTATTTTAAAATTAAGATGAGGTAATTTAAGACTAATATGAGGTCTTCATCTACCAGGCTATGGCTCTTGCCACTTTATGTGAAAGAATATTGTAGACTGCCATTTTTCAGGGGCAAGGGGGTAGAAATAAGGAAAAAAGGACTTACCTAAAAACCTGTGTAAGGTCACCATATCTAACTTGAAGTGGTGAATGAGCCCATGGGTGTTGAAGAGGTGGCACAGCAGTGTTACCAGGCTGTTTCCTATAGGGGAACAGCCACCTGTTTTAATCCATTTTCATCACCATTAAAATATCAAGACTAGCAATAGGATCCAAAGTTTCTGTAATGAAAGTTCTCTGATAGGATCATTTCTTTTCCCCTTTAGATTTAAAATTATTCAAGTATAAAGATATTATTACTATGATCTGGTCCCATATTTTCTCTTATTGTACAAGTAAAATTAACTCAGACCTCCCTATACCAAAGGCAATGAAAACATTAAGAGTTAGAAGGAGTCTGCTTACTGCAGTATCAGGGACACATACACGTGTGTGTGTGTATGTGTGTGTGTGTGTGTGTGTGTTTGTATGGTTAGTTTTTTAAAGACATAGTTTAATGGCCACTTGAAATGTGTCTTAAGTTGCTTCCAATTGACTCTTACATTTACAGGGGTATCTAAGCCACCACAGTGCCTATTCTTTTGGAAAATCACCCAAGATGAAATTTGACCGTGAGATATTTTATAACTCAAGCAGCAGAGGTGCAAAATTGAAGCTACAATAACGTGTAAGCGTTCAAGAAATATTGTTCATTAGAGATAAGGATTTTAAATATTAAAAGCATCATAAAGTTTATGAAAGACTTTGAAATGTACCAAGAAGATGATTGGCTGTCTTAATTGGAAAACTAGGTGTTGCCCAAGCACACTCTTCCAGGGTACCTGGTTCTATGTGTTTCTGTCATCAGCTTTCATCATCTTTGAGCTATTTCACAACAATCAAAGTTGTAGATAACTGATATTATTGCAGATGATTCTTGGCTGTATACATGCAAATGAAATTAGTGAGGTGGAAATACAATTGATTTCCCCCTCCCAGTTTCTCACCTATTTACAAATTCACTTTGGCATTTCTTACTGCTTTTATATGTATGGCTCTTTGAATATTCCTTTGAACTAGCTGTAACATTTTACCGGATCTCTAATTAATTGAGTTTAATAAAATCATTGATGTGATCACTTCATATCTTTATGGGAGTCGTGATTATACTCTCTTTTTAACAAATACCATTGAACAAATTCTTCTGTTCACGGTTACTTTCATATACTGGTCCCCATCTCTCAATTGATTTGAGCAAAGTGAAATGCAAGATTATGAGATACAGCCCTATATGGTCTAGTTAGCTTTCCACAGTGTAAAGCTCAGTTTCATGGTCTTAGGCCGTATCTCTCTCCACTGTGTGTTGTTTGTCAAGAAACAGAATGGTGAGAAAACCATCTGTAATGACTTAAAACACAAGCCTGTAGACGACAGGACATGTGACGGTCAGCATTAAACGTGACGTCTTTCATTGGCTCCCTATTATCAGCATTCGTTTAATGGGCAGATGAAAATATTATAGGATTTTGTTGTTTTCTTAAGGGAAGCCTCTATAGACACAAAAATTTAAAAAGTGGAAACAATAAGAAGGTCTACTTTTCCCTTCAGCTGCAGCCTAAGTGTTTATACTCTATCCTCAGGAGTTGTTTTCTTCTCATGATGCCAAACGTATCTGAACAATACCTGCAATGGGGCAGACTCGCTCACTTAATAAAAGTGCAAAACCATCGGCCCCGTAAGAGTCAGGACTGATCAGATGTGTTTTTATGTTTCTAGTTTTCATTGACTAACAACAAACTCCTTCCTTTTGCATGTGGCCAAAGTATTCTGCAAGGAAGGAATCTAATCTGTGGTTTCTAAATTGCTTTGGAAACAGCAAGACCAGAAGGAAACTGTCTTAAGATTTGGGGTCCAAATTCAACCCTTCATTTGAACTAATTTTCCCTTGCCCTGGTCCTTCTTGAGTGGCTTGCAGATTTATGAATGTGGGAAAAGAAAGAAAAAAGAATAACAGTGTTTAAAAATATATTTTGTTTTTCACAAAATTAATCCCACTTTAATGGTGTGTATTTTAGTGAGAATTCTTTTGGGCGACTTACCATTTGTCAAGCGATCAAACAAGAAAATGTCAAAATCCCACATTCCCACTCTGGAGAGCATATGCTGAAAAGACAAACAAAAGCCAGCACTCGCATGAATCATATCGGAGACTCAAATATTTACTTTGAGACATCGTGAATTAAACAATTAAACAGTTGAAAATAGCATACTACTATCTATGTACAGCTGGTGTGTAGTAAGACAAATCTTACTCTGCTGCCTAATAACAACAGTGTTAAAGGGACAGGCTCCGGAATCAGACTGCCTCATCCTATGTTGGCTGCATCGCTTACTGGCTGTGCTACCTTGGGCAAATTCCTTAGCTCTCTGTACCTCAGTTTCCTAAATTGAAAAATGTAGCTGATAATACTATTGCTTCAGAGGGTTGTTGTGAAGATTAAATAAGGTAAAACATGTAAAAGTGCTTAGAGCGGTGCGAGTACATAGTAAGCACACGATAGATACCTTTTAAAATTGTAGTTCCGTTAAGTCTCTACATCACAAACTACTATGCACTTAGGGGAGGAGGCTTACAGTGAACCTAAAAAAAAAGAAACCTAGATGACTGATGAGCACACTACTCTGCTCAATGTGGACCAAATGTGAGATTAACCCCCGTAACAGACAGGAAACTGAAGTGTGGGCAATTGAAAATATTGGGTACTTTAAAGACCTACTGTCCAATGTAGACTTACTGTGCTATTTTTCTTTTTAATAATACCCCCTGATTGGAGTTAGATGGTGTTAACTCTCAGACACAGAGTTGCAGTTGCTGACTCTATCCTCACTGTAGCTCCTGTGACTGCTTTCCCCTCCTCTCACAGGCCCTGCTTCCCATAAGGACCAGCTCACTCTCCTGTACCTGCCCTTGAATGGCCTCCCTGTGTCTTTCGATAAAATCCAACGGCCTCATCATGGCACACAAAGGCCTTCACAACAGCGTCAGAAAAATGGAGGGATAGTAGGTTTTTGGTGAAGTCTCGTTTGAGTGAGTTTTTATCCAAAAGTCACACCATCCTAAAGGCGGAGCCACAATTCGATCTCTGATATCCTGACCTCTGGTCTGTTGTTCTTTCTACAACTCACTGTTGTCTTTCTTGAGAGGTCCCCACAGAGAGTGCTCTGTCATGGATGCTCCAGCGCTGGGAGCTTAGCCTTGCTTTCTCCTCCTCTCACCAAATGAAACAACCAACCAACCAACCATTCACTCAATCTCAGACCTTGGCCTGTTAGAAGGAGTGATATTTGCTTTCTTTTTGTAGACCTAATGTGGGGAATTAGTTCTTCTAACATTACTTGCTGCTTATTTCTTAATAGCATATATACCATTAGAATGTATTTCTTAATTGCATATAGACAGCATAATATTCCTTATCATAGGAACTATAAGATATTACCTTTGACTTCTGTTTAAACTGAGGTGGTTTATTCCTGAAATTTAAATTCCTTTGGGAGTTTGGGCTAGAGATAAGCTTTGAACTTTTTTTTAGATTGTCACACATTAGATTTCTACCCTCTGTTGGATCAATGCATTGCAAAAATAGTTGTCAAATTAGTAAAACTTTTTGAATAAATTAAAAATTATAAAAAAGACAGTGCACTGTATTGATAGCCTAAAGTGGAATTAAGAGTTGGTAATTACTGGGTTAATTTCAGGGTAGCTATTACGGTGAGATAATTCAACGGGTTAAAAAATTTATTCCTTCACTGGTAATCGGCCAGTCCAAAACTTCATTTTATTTAGTGTTGTGCAAATGTGTTTTGCACATTTATAAAAATGAAAATAGCTAGCATGTGCTGGGCATGAGTATATTAAGCATGCAAACATGCTTTACCTTGTTTAATCCTTGTACCATCCCTGTGAGGTGAGCGTTTCTATTACTTCACTTTATATTTAAGGAAAAAGTCCAGATGTGTTGAATAACTGTCCAGAGGCACGGAGCTCTTCAGTGACAGAAGTAAAGACTCAAACCCAGGTGCTATTGGGGGGTGGAGGGTGGGAGGGATGGGGAGTAGAGGGGGGCACATGCTCTCAGCCACTGGCCTGGTATGAGGCGGCAGAGGGGTAACTAGCTCACCCTTGCTTGTCCAAGGTAGTCTTCATCCAGCAGGTGGAGCGGGGCTTGCGGTATAATTCCACGAAGCAGCCTTGATGCATGGAAGTATCTTTGAAAGCTTAACAGTCTTTTCACCTTTTTCTTGGTGCCAATTTCCCCTGAGTGTGTTGTATCTGTGGGAAGTAATCAAATTCAGAAGTTATATATTTAAAAAGCCCCATTTTTCTCCACTATGTAAAAATACAATGTACTATATAAAGGAGAGAAATCTAAGAGATGCTCTCACAGTGCTTTCTTAATACAGACCATTTAACTCTGCAAATTTTTCTAGAAAAAATGATATTTCTTATGTGTTACATTCATTAAAATGAGATATTTCTGACTAATTTTGGAAGAGATGAAATACATGAATTAAAAACTTCATTTTCTTATTAATGATGCTGGTAAACTTAGTGAGTGAATTCACATACTTCTGCATGCATTTAAGGAACAGTTATGCTTTTTTTTCTGCTATACTGGAGCTGAGGTTCCAAAATTTAGAACAGGTTCTCATCCTATCCTCTCTCTAGTCTGATGAAATCCTTCACCTGAATTAGAAGAGCTGAGAATACACTAGCTTAGACATGAGGAGATGTTTCCTAATGTCCCAGGAACGTCAGCGGTAAAGGAATTAAAAATCTCAGCGCAAGAGTGACCTAGATTGCCATGACATGAAGCAGAGTGGGTGTTTATTTCTTGATGGAGTGTATTCTCTTTTACTGGTGGCCATAAAAATCTGATCCTGTCAGTACAGATATTTTAATACTCCTGTCACATGTGCCTTTTAAAACTTGACTGTTGATTGTCCAGAAATACCCCAAGCACATTATTTGAATGTCTGTCAAGGTATGTCTTATCTCAGCTGAAATTCTATGAATCACTCAGCCACAAAAGTGACGTCTGCTGCCAGTTTTAGATCTGGAGTCAACTGAACAGTCCTAGTAGGAAAACGTACAGTTCACATACAAAGAAATTTTGGTTTCTCTCGTGCCTCATCCCATGTCCCCTTTTCCTTTATAGAACTCAAAATCACAGTGGATATTAGAAGCCCAGGAATCAATGGGCAAGGGTCTCCTTAGCAATGTGGCACTCCCCAAGGGCAGGGAATGACCAAACTCAGTTTGTGACTTGGATTAATTATGCATGCAAGGACTTAATTCAGGGCAGACAACACCTACTACTTTCTGAAAATGCCACCTGATTAAAATTCTTTTTATTTTAAAATGGTTCTAGATTTCATGTGCGGGGAGATGTAAATAAAAACATAAGGAGGTTGGGCTTCCCTGGTGGCGCAGTGGTTGAGATTCTGCCTGCCAATGCAGGGGACACGGGTTCGAGCCCTGGTCTGGGAAGATCCCACATGCCGCGGAGCAACTAGGCCCGTGAGCCACAACTACTGAGCCGGCGCGTCTGGAGCCTGTGCTCCGCAACAAGAGAGGCCGCGATAGCGAGAGGCCCGCGCACCGCGATGAAGAGTGGCCCCCACTTGCCACAACTAGAGAAAGCCCTCGCACAGAAATGAAGACCCAACACAGCAAAAATAAATAAATTAATTAATAAACTCCTACCCCAACATCTATTACCACCCTCTAGTTCCACAACACTTCTTCACCTCAAAAGGAAGCCCTGTACCCATTAAGCAGTCACTCCACATTTGCCCCTTCCCCCAACTTAGAAAAAAAACAAACAAACAAACAAAAAAAAAACATAAGGAGGTAAGAGGCGTAAACTAAAGTTGGGTGCTTAGGCTCATATCAATATTAAAAATGGCATATATAGACTCAATTCTACTGATGGATTTTCACTCATTTCTATTTGTTTATCAAGTTAAGGTACAGGATAAAGTGGTTCATTCATTAAAAAAATGTTTTGAGGGGGGACGTCCCTGGTGGTGCGGTGGTTAAGAATCTGCCTGCCAATGCAGGGGACACGGGTTGGATCTCTGGTCCAGGAAGATCCCACAGGCCGCAGAGCAACTAAACCCGTGCGCCACAACTACTGAGCCTGTGTTCTAGAGCCCCTGAGCCACAACTACTGAAGCCCGCGTGCCTAGAGCCCGTGTTCCGCAACAAGAGAAGCCACCGCAATGAGAAGCCCGTGCGTGACAACGAAGAGTAGCCCCCGCTCGCTGCAACTAGAGAAAGCCCGTGCACAGCAAGGAAGACCCAACGTAGCCAAAAAAAAAAAAAAAAAAAAAAAAAAAGGTTTCGAGGGAATTCCCTGATGGTCCAGTGGTTAGGACTCGGCACTTTCACTGCTAGGGCCCGGGTTCAAACCCTGGTCGGGGAACTAAGATCCTGCAAGCCGCTTGGCCAAAAAAAAAAAAAAAAAAAAAAGTTTTGAGTGCTACTAAGGAACAAGCACTGTTCTAGATGCTTGGTGAGATCCCTCAGTTCTAGATCCTCCAGTGAGCAAAACAAAGATCCCTGTCCTCAAGAAGCTTGCATTCTAACATATAGACAATAAACAATAAACAACAAAAAAGAAGTAATGTATAAAAATGTATTAGAAGCTGGTATGTGCAAAGGGTGAAGGAAGAAATGCAGGGAATGAGGGATCCAGGGTTCTGTGTTAGGGTAGTCAGGGTTGGCCTCATTAGAGGCTACGATTTGATCAAAATTGAAGGAGATGAAGGAGGTGGCCAAGCAGATATCTGGGGAAATGCCTTCCTTACAGAGGGACCAGCTCGAATAACCCTAGAGTGGGAACGTGCTTGGTTTGCTGGCATGTGGGGTGAGCAGCAGTTCAGTGTGGATGGGGAGGAAAGGAAAAGGAAGGAGTAAGAGATGTGGTCATAGAGCAAAGTGTGTGTGTGTGTGTGTGTGTGTGTGTGTGTGTGTGTGTGTGTGTGTGTGTGTGTGAATTATGCCCTGAAAGCTATTGTGATGGCTTGGGCTCTACTGTCAGTGAAATGTGAAACCACCACAAAGTTTTGAGAGGAAGAGTAATATGGAAACACTTAACATTTAAAAAGGGTCACTGTGGTTTCTGTGTTGAGAAGAGATTGTAGCAGCAAGCTTTGATGCAGTGAGATCTGTTATGAAGCTATTGGAATAATCCAGGCAAGAAACGATGGCTGGTTAGATTATGGGGGGAACAGTGGAGAGTAGAAGTGGAGGGATTCTGAATATACTTTGAGTGCCTTCAAGTTTTTGGCCTAAATAACTGGGGGAATGGAGCTGCCATCACCTGAGATGGGGAAGGCTACCAGGGGAGCAGGTGTGAGGTGGATTTCAGTTTTGTACATGTTGCATTTGGATGTCAATTGGAGATTCAGGTGAAGATGTCAAGTAGAAATAAGTGGATATAAAAATCCAGGGCTTGGGGGAGAAGACTGGGTTTGAGATACAAATTTGGGGAGTTGTCAGATGAGATTAACCTCGGGAGTGAGTATAACTACAGAGGAGAAAAGCATCAGAATCTGAGTTCTGGAGTACTTCAACTTAAAAGGGTGTGGAGAACAGTAGAGAGAACCAAAGGAGATTGAGAAGTTATCCTGCGGGGATGGACGAGAACCAAGAGTATCATTCCCTGGAGGCCTAGTGAAGACAATATTGCGAGGAGGCAATATTTGATCCTCAGTTTCAAATGCTGCTAATAGGTCAAGTATAATGAAGACTGAGAATTGACCATGGGTGTATACATCTGTCAAAATTCATTGAACTATGCCCTTAAAAGAGCACGTTTTATTGTATGTTTAGAAGCAACCAACACCCAGTAGCTACAGGTACAAATTTTGTTATTTAAATACAAGTTATCACTAAAATGAACCAGATAACCTTGGTGAAATGGCTAAGTCTAGGACTGGGGCGGGCAGAATCAAGATGAACTGTAACTTCTTGTAATGCCAGAAAATAAGGGAGAGCTCAAAAAATGATGGGCTCATAGAAAAATGACAGAGGAGACAATGTGAAGGGGGTCCCTCTGAACAAATATGGGAAAATCTGAAACTCAGCATGGATAATAGAAGAGTGGATTATAAACCATCGACTGAAAGAAGACTCCAGCAGTCCATTCTGTTAGTAAGCAAGCGAGTAAATAAATAAGGGAAAGCTCTTCCTTGCAGTGAGTGCTGACCAGTAAGGTAGAAGAAATAATAAGAGTTAGTTACCATTTTGCAACCTTTATAGTAATAACTGATTTAGGCCAAGGTCATTAATGGACAATAAAATTGTTAAGTGAAAGCTTAAAAAGCAACAGGATAATTACATAGCATCAAAGTATCTCTTCACAGATAACTTATTAATCGGAAAAGAAAAAATGGACAGCTTTTTAGTGGACAAATATAGAGGGGGCACCATCTTCACTATTCAAAGTTAACATCACCGGTCATAGGAAAAGCTGGCATCTTACTCTTCCTGATGTAATTCACTGAGGACACAACATCACCTATTCAATGTTCCTGCCCCAAATGACATCCCATCCCCCAAAAGAGGAAACATTAGAAAAACCCAAGCTGAAGCATACTCTATAAGTAAACAATCGGTCTGTACTCTTAAAAAAAAGTCAATGTCATAAAAGGCAAAGAGAATCTCAGGTATTGTTTCATAATAATGGATACCAGATATAGTGTGCTAAATGCAATGCACGGCTCCAAACTGGATCCAGGATCAGAAAAAAATTTCCATAAATGACATTATTAGGACAATTTGTAAAATTTGGATATGGACTTGTGTATGAGATAATAATATCCTATCTATAAATGTCTTGAATTTGATAGCTGAACTGTGGTTACACGAAAGAATCCCTTGTTCTTAGAAAATACATGCTGAAATATTTAGGGATAAAGGGGCATGATGAGTACAACAAACTCTCAAGTGGTTACGAAGAAAGTAGCAGCAAGGCAAATTGGGCAAAATACAATAATTGGTGCATCTGGGTAAAGGGTATATGAATGTTCTTTGCTCCGTTCTTGCAAATTTTCTATAAATCTGAAGTTATTTTGTAATAAAGAGTCTAAGAAGAGACGGAATGGGAAGGGAGAAATCTGAGGCAATGACATGGAGTATATTCAGCTCTCAAGGAGTTTTGCTACGTAGGGGAGCAAAGAAACTTGGCGATATTTCTATATAGAACTATATAGAATGAAATCAAGTGTGTCAGTAAAGAAATGAAATGAATTATTCCTGTGTTA